GAGCGAGGGCGGCCGTGACAAGAACGGCGGTGAGAACCCCCAGAGAGAGAGGGGTTAAAAGGCGCAGTAGTTACAACTAGAGAAGGAGCCGCGCCAGGGGACGAGGTAGTCACCACTGGGGGCTTGGGGCTCGACCCAACCACAGAGGAGGGAGGGGAGCCAGGGGAAGGAGTCAGAGAGGCCAAAGGAGGAGCAAGGTCGGGGCCCAATGCAGCGGAGGCTACAGAGCCCGGTCTTCCAATACGGACCGACTCGGGGGCTTGGTCGCCCACCCCACGAGCCTGAAAAGGTAAGCCAGAAGCAGCCGAAACAGGGGTTATCTTGACGAAATTACGAATTCACTCACGAATGTGCCCCCACACCCACCATGGAGCCACAATTAGAGGCAGGACACCCAACAAGAAGCTATCGCCGATCTTGTCGGGGCCTCCTAGGGGTGCGTCGTGAGTATACGCCCCACAAACGCCACCTTAAGAAACCGACAGTCCGTCGAGATCGGGTTCAGTGACGAAGTGGGGATTGACAATAAAAGGTTCCCCTCGCTCTCGACGTCGGGTACTGCAGTTCTACGGGTGCAAGAGTATGCCTCCTCAAGCACCCGGGCGTCAAAGTAGAAGAAGTCCAAGGGAAGAACCAGAACGAGCAAAAGGTCGGCAGGAAACGGCAAGCAGATAGGAGAAGAGGGGGGAGAAAAACGAAACAGAAGGAAAAGGAAAAGATGCCCAGCAGAATTGGAGAGGACGGCAGCAGGAGCACAAGGCTAGAAAAGGACAGAGGACTGTCCCAAGGAGCATCACACTCCGGCAGCCGCCCACTAAGCCCCCAGACGGCGACAACGAGCTGAGCGGGGAGGGGGTGGGGAAGATGAAGACCAGAGCTAACAGAAGAAAAATGGGAACCCAGTTCGGAAGCGACCTGCAACGGGTCCGCCACAAGAGTATCATGGAGGTGAAGGACCGGTGAAACATCGGGAACGAACTTGCCCGCTATCTTGCGGATACGCTTCCAGATCTGGGCCAGAGGGGTCTCGGACGTAATTGTCGAGACATAAGATGCCCAACATTCACGTTTAGCCGTACGGATGGCCCTACGGGCCACCGCACTCGCTTTCCGAAAGAAAAGAAAAGAATCGGACGTCTGCCTACGGCGGTGCCTCTTCCAGGCTGCACGCTTACAGCGGACAGCCCGAGCACAGTCCGCATTCCACCAGGGAACGCACTTCCGTGGACCCCGAGAGGAAGAGCGAGGAATAGAGCGGAGGGCAGCGTTGAAGACAGTGTCATGAAAAAGGAGGAGAGCGCGAGAGAGAGGCAGAAGGGAGAGGTCAGGGAGAGCAGCACTGAGGGTAAATAGGGTCCAGTCTGCCTTAGCAAACTGCCACCTAGGGAAAGAGAGGGAAGGGCGAAAAGAGAAAAAGGAAACAAGGATGGGGAAATGATCACTTCCATGGAGGTCATCAAGAACCTGCCACGTGAAATCTAAGTAAAGAGAAGAAGAGCAGAGAGAAAGATCAAGACAAGAAAGGGTGCGAGTCCGAGAGTCCAAATGAGTGGGCTCACCAGAATTCAGAAGAGACAGGGAAGAAGAGAGGAGAAACGGCTCAAGGAGGCGACCCCGGGTATTCGTCAGAACGTCACCCCAAAGAGAATGACAATTGAAGTCACCCAGCAGGAGCACAGGCTCCGGCAAGGAGTCCAGGAGGTGTTTCAAATCAGGAAGAGAGCGGGACACTCGGGGGGAGATAAATGGAACAAACTGTGTACCATTTCCCCACAAAGATACGAGCAGCAGAACAATGGAGAGGCGAAGGAAAAAGTAAAGGAACAAAGGGAACATCAGCACGAATCAAGAGAGCAGAAGAATTAGAAGCCCCAGCAATGGCTGTGGGGGGGGGGGAAGAGAAGAATAGCCACGAATACGACCAGGACGAGCACCAAGCATTGGCTCCTGGAGACAAAGGGGCAAAAACCGCGAAATCAGAAGTTGGAGTTCGAGGAAATTGGCGTAATAACCTCGAACGTGCCATTGAAGAATGGACAACGACGAGAAGAAAAAAGGACAAAAACAGAGAACAAGGAAGAAACAAAGGCGAAAGAGCAACAGAGCACGTTAAAGAATATCACGGTCGGGATCAGAGTCAGCAAAGTCAGGGTTAGGGGGCATGGGTAAACTGAGCAAAGACGGAGGGAAGGAAACGGGAGAACAGATCAGAGGTGGGCGGGCGGGGTCCGGAGGAGGAGGAGGAGAAGAAGAGGAGGAGACAACAGAGGAGCAGTCAAGGACAGCAGCAGGAAGAGGGGGAGTAGAAAGAGGGGAGCGCACCGCAGCAAGAGCAGCAACCGAAAGGGAAGCAGGGCCCAAAGAAACCTCCATAGCAGGAACAGGGGGCGCAATCACTGAAATGGGAGGGGAAGGAGCAACAGAGCCAGAAGTAGGAGCCGATGAAGAAAGCGAAGCCGCCTTACCCGCCAGGGAGGAGGAAGGAGAGGAGCCAGGCTTATGCTTCCGATTTAAAGAGACTGGTGTCCCAACAACTACTTACCGGGCAACGGATTCCAGTGTCTCAACAGAAGCTGAACGAGACCACACACGACGGCCGTTAGGAGAGCGATGGACATCCGCCTGCACCGACAGGCGGCGGGGAGAGACGATAGATGGAGGAAGAGGACGGGAAGGAGGAGCGGAGGGAGACTAAGAAGAAGACAAGAGACATGACAGACCGGGTAGAAAGACTGGGAACCCCAGACAAAGGACCAGGAGGGGGACCCCTCGGGACAGAACGCAAAGGAACAGGGGAGGGGGCAGTTGGCGTATCAGGGTTCAAGGCCAGAAACGGTTGTGAGTCTGAGGAAGGAAGGAAGGACAAGGAGAGGAAGAGCGCAACACGCGAGCATAAGAGACGTTAGTATAAGGCATGAGCCGGCGAACCTGGCACCTCGCCTCAGAAAAAGATAAACGCTCCCGGTGCTTCAAGTTGAGGACGGCCGCCTCAAGCTTGTAATGGATACAGGCACGGGAGAAGGTAAGATAGGCCTCACCGCAGTCGAGGCAGCGAACTTGGGGAGAAGTGCACTCCGACTTAGAGTGACCTTCACTCCCACACAAAGGACAGAGAGAGAGACAGTCCCAGAGCAGCGGAGGGCACCATGCCCAAACCTCCAGCACTTGTTACAAAGTCGAGGAGAAGGAATATACTCTTGGACAGAGCACCAGCAAGAATGACAGAGGATGGAAGGGTCCTACCATCAAAGATGATCTTCACAACGCGAAGGGGTTGACGGCGACGACCACGAGGGGGACGAGTAAACGAGTCAACCTGGAGGACAGAATGGCCTTGGGCATCAAGGATATGCCGAATATCATCGTGGTAATCCTGCAGATTCCGAACACCAGTTGCAACATGGGGTGGGAGGAAAATAGTGCCAACACTGGCATTCATCCGAACGTTCTTGGAGACCTGAACAGGGATCTCGCCAAGGCAAGATAAGGCAGCCAAGCGGAAAGCTGCATCCTGAGAAGGAGAAGCAACGACGCGTGTACCGAGACGAGTGGGGTTGAATTTAACAGGCATCCACGGAATCTACAAGATGCCGATGGAGGGAGAAATCGTCAGGAGGTGCAGAATCAAGAGGGAGGAGATCAAAGTATTTGGCCCATGAATCAGGACCAAACAAGGCCCGATACGCATCAGCACGGGAAGGAATCGAGCGAGTGCGGCTGGGGCGCGAACGGCGTTGAGAAACCCCCAGAGAGGGGTCAAAAGGCGCAGTAGTCACAACGAGAGACTTGGCCGCACCAGGGTGACGAAGTGGTCACCACTGGGGCTTGAGGCTCGACCCAACCACAGAGGGAGGGAGGGGAGCTGGGGGAAGAAGTCAGGACGGTCAAAGGAGGAGCAAGGTCGGGGCCTAACGCAGCGGGAGCTACAAAGCCCGGTCTTCCAATACAGGCCGACTCGGGGGCTTGGTCGCCCACCCCACGAGCCCGAGAGAGTACAACAGAAACATTCAATGACATACAGACGAAGTGTGATAAATTCTTCCACAAATGTGCCCCCATACCCACCATGGATCCACAATTTGAGGCAGGACACCCAACAGGAAGCTATCGCTGATCATGCTGGGCCCCGTATAGGTGCGTTGCAAGTATACGCCCCACAAATGCCACCTTAAGAACCGTCATTCCGTCGAGATCGGGGTTCAGCAATGAAAGGGGGATTGACAATAAAAGGTTCCCCTTGCTCGAGATGTTGGGTACTATAGTTCTACGGGTGCAAGAGTATGCCTCTTTAAGCACCCGTGCGTCAAAATAGAAGAAGTTCAAAGGAATAACCAAAACAAGCAAAAGGTTGGCAGGAAACTTCAAGCAGATAGGAGAAGAGGAGAAAAACGAAACTTAAATGGAAAAGCAATCTGGCACAATTAGAGAACACAGCAGGAGTGCAAGGCCACAAAAGGACAGGACTGTCCCACGGAGCATCACACTCCGGCAGCCATCTACTAAGCCCCCTCACGGCGCCAACAGGCCGGATAGGGAGGGGAAGCAGCCCACTAACTCCCCCCCCCCTCCTCACAGCATCAACTAGCTGAACGGGGAGGGGGGTCAAAACAGGCAAAAAAGGTCGGCAGGAAATGACAATTAGAAATAAGTGGGGGGGGGGGGGACAAAACAAGGCAAAGGGAGGAGAAAAAAAAAAAAAAAGTTCTGGCCAAAATTGGTAAAGACAGCAGCTGGAGCACAAGGCCTCAAAAAGAGACAGACCCATGGAGCATCACACTCCAGCAGCTGCCCACCAAGCACCCTCACGACAACAATGTGCCAGAAAGTGATGGGGAGGGAAGAGGTTTAAGAGGAAACTTGAAGACGCCATTGCTTCTAGTAATTTGACGAATAGTAACCAGAAGTATTGCATAGTTACGAGGGAGTCTACTAATAACAACTAATCAAAGATTTTATTTCACTGAATTCAAATCCAAACACTTTCTATAATTAGACGAAACTTTACCGTTTTAAAATGTTTATTACAATACTTTGTGCCAATTATCTATAATCCATCTTTAAGCATAGTATCCGGCGGTGGTGGAAGTAACCGTAGTAGTTACTATTTGCGTAATGGTAGTTACTATATCCTGCACAAGTTCTTGTGTAGATACCACAGGGACCGTCTGGATCTGTAATTACAAACATTATTGACGTTTGTGTAATAAATTTAGAGAACACTTGCACACGTTCAAGACTACATAGTTACCTCGTGAGTGACAGCCACGTCGGTGATAGTCTGCCAGTATTTAACAGTATCTGTTGTGGTGACGAATTGACTGTAGACGGAGACCATTGTGCTTACTGGGTAGACCCCCACCGTAGCCGTCACCAACACTACCGGTGTGGAGGTGAACCTTATCACAGAGGTCACCGTCTGTGGCTGCTGGGGAACAAACTCCCATTGGGTGGTGGTCTGG